ATGTTTATTTTGCCTCAGGAGGGAATTATGTACGCAAAGATAGAAAGCAAGTCTATAAATATTTGTTTTTTGTTTGAATAAATTTTTTTCCTCTGGAAAAATTTGAACAAAAGCCAAATTAACATGAAAATAAAACTCTGCTCCTTAGTGATCATAATATGTACTCCGACTTTACACAACAAAATATAACAAATCTACACAGACATTTCGCCTCTTATGTGAGTGGCATGCTTAGTGTGCACTGGCCCCAAATATGTGGAGGCGACCAAATTTACTGAATGTCTTGTATGTGTCTACTCATCCGGATAGAGACCGTGATTGTTGTTGCACGCTGACTGGTCATGATGGTCTAACCACGACTATAAAAGCTTTCTCTTCCCTCTCTTTTGTTCCCTAGCCAGCATCGTCGAATTACGGAAGTCGAAGTCATGCCCCATTTTCAAGCATTGTTTGACGAGGTTTGTCTCAGAATGCGTGGCTTTTGTGATGTCCCCTTTGTGTTCCTTAAAAGTCGTTGACCACTACCTGCCAGTTTTGCCAATATAAGGTGTGTCTCAGCCATCGCACAGAAACGTAAACAACCCTGTTTTGACCGTTTGCAGGGGTGCTTTCTTCTGGCTTAGAGAGCACGTTTACCAAGGTACAATGAAGCTTGAAAATTGTTTTATTTCCCAGTGGACGAAGTGCTATTCGAACATAGTCTGGAAAACTTTCAAAGTAAGGTACAGGAAGAATGGTTTTTGTGTTTTCTCGCGGCACACTTCTTGTTCTCTTTTGCATGTGTTTTTGGGTGTCGTTGATAAACTTGCTCAGATAATGACTTCGTTACAATTTATTAACGACGTTTTCATCTATATGACTGCAAGTGCTGAACAATTATGTATGCGAAACCTAATGCATGAGTGAAATAGGCAGGAAGCGAACAACAGGGCTCAAAGAGAACAAGGGAAACATTGCAAAAGCCACCCATGCCACACATTATAAGACAAAACTCGACGAACACTGCTCGACTAGGGGACATGCCTTCGACTTCAATTATGAGACAACGCTAGTTCGCGAACAAAAGTGGGGCAAGAGAAATCTTCTCGAGTCATAATTCATTAGTGTGACGAGTTGGCACGCGACAACAACCGTGGCCGCATGCTAAGCGTCATACGAGACAAGCAGCGAACTGTGTAACCTCCGCTTATTTGGTGCCAGGGCATACTGAGGATGCCAGCTGCATATTTGGCGAAACATGTATGTAGTTTTTGCTATATTTTACTATGTTAAGTATAAGTTTATATTTTTAATTATGAACTGGCCTGTCTTTTGAAACATATGTATACCTTCTCCTTAGTTATAACTCGGCTGCGTACTGTGGTGTACCAAAAAACGTGCTGATAATATTATTTTGATGTTTTGGATGAATTTTTTACTTTGTTTTAGGTACATATGCAGGTGCCAGAAAAAGAAAATGAGGAGCAGAATTTCATCTTACTTCCACCAATGCAGGTGATGAGGAGTGACAGAAAGGAATACTCGCTGTGAGTGCCATCTGTTTGGTAAGAACAATATTTATATTGCGATTTTAAACTACTAACAATTTTCTTTGTGCATCATATATAATATTTAGCTCAATGAACAATGCCACTTTGAAAATAACGTGGTATACTGAGTATGTTTGAGCTGAAGAACTGAACTCAGACTGTAAATAAGCTCAAAACATTGAGTCTTTGCCATCATTAATAAAAAAGGAGCCAATCATTCAGCTCAATAAAGCTTCACAAATTTAATCTCTGCCCTATTTAAGTTTCTTCACTGCTGTGTTTTCTCACTGCTGGATTGTGCATTGTTACATAGCTTTCTGTAGTCTTGGCACAGCTTTCATAGAATGTTGCAGACAGATTTTGTCAGCCCATTCTCTGCATTTTTTACGGAAGTGTTCCCATTTAATTATTTTGTTTGCTTGATAAGCTACTAGTATGGGTCTAATCACTTCCTCTTCATAATGCAGGCCCTCATTGCCAACCGATTGCCTCGCATCATGGCTTGTTCCACGGTCGTCACAGCCATCACCCTGCAATTGCTGTTTGCTGACATCGTCTACAGTGTACCCCTCTTGGATGTACTCTGATCTGGCGAGCTTGTTCACTCAAGTCGAACCACATTGGCAAAGTCTCGAGCAAAGACTGGCAACTTCACCATGCTGCTCAGTTTGCATATGTGAACTCCACTGGGCATGTGAACTGTTGTGGCGATATGGCTCTTAGTTGCTTCTCTGATGGTGCTGCAGGTTGGTGTTTATTTGTCATTCTACTCTAAACGATTGCATTTCCTGTGCCTGCTGGTGTCCCTGTGCCCAGTATGATTGTATATGTATCCGTAGTTGACATTTATGGTGTTATATGTTTTTGAGAAACAGGGTACTCGGTCATAATACTCGTTCTGAAAGCCTTTGAAAAATCAACTTCCTAACGACGTCCGCAAACCAGTGAAAGTACTTTGCCCCTTTTCCAAAGATGCGCATAACCACTGACTACAAATTATCAACTTGGAAGCTTTATTCACTGCAAATCCAAAAAAGTTGAAATGCGAAAATTAGTGGCACACACAACGCAAGAAATGCATAAATGAAAAATACTAGAGTTATGCAGAGCAGTGCAAAACAATATAAAAATAAGTTGAGCTCACCTCTAGATAAAAATTAATGAAATGTGGACTGAACGAACGAGAATAATTGTGTCAAGGCAGTTTAATCATCCAATGGACAAAAGGACAACAACTTGGTAATGAACTGAATATACAATAGTTGCATGCCTTGTGTATTCGTTTCGTAATCAATATTTCTCACTTGGTTGTGGCTGGGGGGTAACTGTTTTGTGTGAACTACCCTGAGCAGTTGCTCCACTGATCGCGTTTGACTTTTTCTGACCGGGTGTCAGCTACCTTGAACTTGAAAGGCATATTTTTTATGTAATCGATCGACCACATTTAATGAGCCGCTTTTCACGTGTGAGACAGTAATCACGAAGTTCAGTTGCTTTCGAACATGTAAACTTCGCTTGATGTGCAACATATTTTGCTACACAGATATCCGCAGGTTTTTCTGTTTTGGTTAAAACAAGTTCTTGTTTTGAACCTTTTAAGCTCTGTCAAAACAAGCTAAACCTGAGTGGGATGTGCCAGTCTTTCAGTGCTGCTATATTGTCTCTCTTCATGAAATCATGAGACAGACAGTCAACAGCAGTGGCAATCATCACACTATACAATGCAAGCATCACTTTGGGAAAAGTACCGACAAGGCAATGGCTGTCTATGGTATTCGTGTCCTTCTATGTAATTAACACATAGCAGTCTCGCCAGTGTCTTCTTCCTTGCCTATTCACTTTCCCACTGATATTGTAGATACTATAGATAAAAGCTTTTTTCGTCAAACTTTTGCTAAAATTGTATAAACAAGTTGTGTTTTCATTTTGCACGTGTATTTGTTTTTTACGACCCAGTAGTTGACATAGTATGAAAGAAACTTGCGACGTGCTTTGTCTCTAATAATTAGTGAATGCTTAAATGTGTTTCGTAACACTCCCATTCATGTTTACTCTGTGACAACGACAAATAAATAACAAGTAGGTAATCTTCGTAAATAAATGTCTTGTTTTTTCTTTCATATAGCATTCAGGCACTTCGGCATGTTCTTTCCTGCCCTAAGCTGTGCGACTGCATGTCCTCATGGTTGCTGCGATTCTGCGCATAAAAATACTGCACCCTCAACACATGCTCACTTATTGTAGCCATTGCTTACACAGAGCAATACCACATTTTTCAATGCCCTAAAACAATGTAGTATGTATAACATATGTGTTAGAAGCTTTGTAATTTGAAAAGTGTTTTTGGTCTTACGGACATGCACAAGTGTGTTTTGACATTTTTTTAGCTTGGCTGTTCCATCACCAGTTCTTTATGCATGTATGAATGTGTTGATAAAGTGCTATTAGGAAACAGTTTTCGTGCATGGACAATAATTATTGCAATTTTCACACTATACCAGAGCTTTTTTCCTAGCCAGAAACTTCAGGGCGGTTCCCGTAACAAGTCAACTTGCCTTTTCATAATAACGCACACACAGTAGTTTGGATTTTCTGCGCATGTCGCATGAAAGTCAACACGTCACACAGCAATGATGACATCATGCTGTTGGTATGCTGCCATCACGCTGTTGGCATGTTGACATTATGTTGCGGCTATGTTCCTAAAACATTGCTGTGATGTTGAAAATGTGATCCTGGATGTTGCCATATCGTCCTGAATGTTACAAGTAACGTTATCATGTGATCAAAAAAGAGGACGTTAAGTGCGCTTAGGCAACGTTGCTGACTGACATCTGGGCACTTTTATTCAACGTTGGGATAACATTCTGCGTTACTTGGGACCATCACAACAGCTGGCGAAGACCAATCAATCTTCGCCTTTTAGAAATAAACAAGCAACAGAATGATATAAGCGATATTTCTGGAGATTTATTACCGAGTTATGAAATGAAATAGGAAAGAATAAAGTATATAAGTACATTACAACCCCCAGTGGTCCCACGAATACATTTTTTTAATTGTAGGTGTCTTCATTGTAACGTGAAGCAAACAGTTGGAAGTCATCAGTCCTAGGCAAAGTCTGTTTCAATGATAAAAGCTGAAGTACATGGTGGTCTTACCATAAGGAAAACACAATCTCAGAGCAAAGAATGATTAAAGTGCTATGAGCCACCTTGTGAACAAACTGAAAAACTGTGATTAGATGACCCAATGTGTAAATAAAATATAGAAATCGGACAGCAGTAGCTATACTACACTGTTCAAAAGTTGTCGGTGCGGCCAGGGCACAAGTTCTGCTGTAGGGAAAGTTGAGGCCGCTGCGAAAAATGCAGAAACTGAAGAGTGCTTTATCCATGGAAAGACATGCAACATTCTTTTTCAAAGACTATGAATTAGGGATGTTTATGGACTATGGGTGTTATTGAGCACGCACCTTTTCTGTGTTCAAGGGATGCGGTGGTGTAAGCTGACTAGAGCTGGCTTCCTTCTTTACGGTCAACTCCGAGACGAAGTTGAGGTTGACCATGCATATGTCGCTGACATTGGCTTTGCCGCTAGTACTGGCACTATCTGAGACAATTGTGTCAAGGAGCAGCACATGAAGAGTGTCACAACATGAAGGTGCATAACGCGCTGACATCAAGCCATTACGTCCGATGCATCGTCATGCTTCCTTTCTTTTTTGTTTGTTTACTTCCACTTCTCGGGGCGCAGATTTCACGGGCTTGGCATGTTACATGATTATGAGGCATGCAGTAGCGAGGCAAACCGGATTAACTTATACCACTTTTTGGACGCACCCAAATCGAGGTTTACGAGCGTTCACGCATATCGCCCCTATCAATTGAACCCACGACATCCATGTCAAGCAACGCCAAAGGGACACTAAAAAAGCTGAAGAAGTGGGTAAAGGCTGAAAAGGCATTAAACATATAACCTGAAAACATCATATCACATCCCTATCATTAGGAATTGATATTTCCAAAATGCCGGATGCTGGGACAGCAAATTACGCATTAAGAAAAGGGGCACTTGGTGAACGTGAACGGTGCCAAAACACTCAGCCGCCCAGATTATCCTAGCCCAAGAGCATGTCGGCGCCCTAGGACGCTTCAGATGATTGCATCGCTGAGGCCGGTAACAAGTTGCTGCGACCTAGCATCGGCTCACCCGACCTTTCATGTCAGAAAGATACACGACAAAGCGAGCCTACTTTATTGACCACGTCTACTCAATAAACTCTAAAAGGGAAGAATTCTGGGTGCCGAAACACTAGCAGCACACTAGAAACCCGAGGCGAGTCTTGCGAAGCACGTTTCCACTTTCTTTTCACCGAAGGCACCAACGGAAGCTGTACAACGAGCAGCACGATTGCCGAAAGAATACTGAGCATGAGAGCCTTGGTCTGCTGGTCGAAGGCCAACACGTCTCCCTCGATATTCTCGTCATAGCAAGTTTTACAAGAAACAATACTTCTAAGAGAAAAACATTCTGGCTCATTTGCCATAGCTTTCATTTGCAGGAATAAATGATCGGCATAGTTGTTACGTTCTTACCGAAACAACCGACTTCGGCTAAACACAGTGCTGACAGCGCTTCGTTGGTCAATGCTATACAGGGACATAAATACCGCCATCAGTAATTTCATTTCAAGTACAACACTGCATATTTGTTGTGAGTTTTACGCGAACATCTACTTTGTTGAGTGAGATTAATGTTTTCAGCACGGTGTTTTAAGCTGCATACGCGGTCTGGCCAATGCGATACTGACAGAACCAATACGATCCAAAAGTGTCTTTTGGATAAGCATCATTCTTGCCAAAGGAGTTTGGAGAGTCATTGCTAGCTCGTGAGTCGCTGTTTGTGTTCCTCAATCGTGCTGTACAACCGAAAGTTGGCAAGATGAGTATTATGTCCTACAACGGAGGCGTCGTGGTCGCCATGAAGGGCAAAGAATGCGTCGCCATCGCAGCCGACCGGCGTCTGGGCACGCGCGGCCACACCATTTCGCTGGTCTTCAAACGCATCTTCGAGATGGGCCTGAAGCTCTACTGCGGCCCGCCGGTCCTTGCAACGGACACGAAGACGGTGGAACAGAGGCTCAACTGCCGCGTAAACCTGTACGAGTTTCGCAAGGGCCACTCTGTAACTCCCGAGACGCTCGGCTCGGTCATCTCCAACCTGCTGTATGAGCGCCGCTTCGGTCCGTACTTTGTGCAGCCCATAGCGGCCGGCTTGGACCCCGTGACAAAGCCCTACATCTGCGTGATGAACCTGATCGGCTGCATCGACGAGCCTACCAACTTCGTTATCTCGGATACGTGCGAGGAGCAGTGCTACGGCATGTGCGAGACGCTCTGGGAACCGGACATGGGGCCTGACGAACTGTTCGAGGCGTCCGCGCAAGCACTCATGAATGCCTTATAAAGAGACTCCTTCTCGGGTTAGGGTGGCGTTGTGCACATCATCGAGAAGGATAAGGTCACCACCAAGCACCTCAAGACCAGGATGGACTGAAAAGAACATTGGCGACCGCCCGTCAGAAGCCTGATACTTCTTCCTTTGTGCTGGGAATAAATGCACGCCTTTTTCTTCTTCTTTCTATACTCCTTCAAAGAAAGGCTGTGTTTTTATCCTTAATTCGGTCGTATAATAAGTTCGAGCTAATATTGAGAAGCTACAACTCGTTCAGAGCCAAAAAAGCATTTATGATGTGATGAGAGAAAGAGAAAAAACCTAATTATATTATTTTAAAGGGCTGTTAGATGGCGGCGGGGATTATCCTTCTCGTGATAGGCCTGTCTCACAAACCCGGTAAGGAATTCGTTCGAGTGCAGTTTTCATCATTTGCAGTGGACCTATGTGTAATAAACATGCGAGTCAAACCACTGTGTTGCCAGAAAAAGTCAGAAACTTGGAAATTTATGCCTAAGTAAATTTTTAATCAGGATCTGCTGAGTTATCACTTCACATTCTTGGTTCATACCATTCGTTTACTAAACAAACCCTTTGCACACTATATTACAGTACGCAAAGTTCAACCATGTTAGTGTACCGGAGCATAGTGGCCCCAGCTCTGTGCCAGCGTGAAAGAAGACGTTGACGTCCGTGTGTGGCTCGTGTTTGCCAATACCAAATTGCGCTGTGCAGTTCCACAACTAAATTATTACCTTAACAAAGCTCGGCTCAAGGCGTCACCGCTATGCATTTGGTGCAACGAAATTGAAACAATTGAACATTTCTTTTTATTCTGTCATCGTTATTCTTATCAGAGAAAAAGATTTTTAGTAGCTCCGTTACAAAAGCTAGGAATACAAGTAAATCTACCAATAATTTTAACACTTGGCGGAACTTCATTTGGTTACTGCCACAGGGATGTATGCTCCGCTGTGTTTGATTACATCAACGCAACTAAAAGATTACCGTTCTAGTGAACCCCTACCTTTTCAGACCTTTAGTTTATAATTCGTAGTTATGTCCTTCAAAAACAAAAGATACCGCTTGCTCAGCAAACATTTTTGTTTTTTTGGTAGTAATATTTTTGGCTACTTTTTCAGATTGGCTTCATTTTCATTTTAGTTTCATTTAAGTATCCTGCCGCCCGGTTCTTGGCCCATCACCCTTTGTGGGTGAGCGCCATCCATCAGAGGTCATCAGCATCAGCATCAGCCAAGTTCCTGCGTGTAGCAGCTTCTGGCGGCTAAGGCTTCTCGAATAATAACCTTTGTTTTTACGCAGCCTCGCTCGTTGCATTTGGTGGAATCGTGCTGTGTAACGTCCTGGAGCTCCGCAGCCGTAAGCTTCCATCTCAGTCCGCGATGACCGAGCACGTCGATCCCCCACAAGCCTCTTCCACGCTGCCGCCTGTCATAAGCCCTGGTGTACTTCGTCTGCGTGACCCACCAATATACAACGGCACTGAAGATCATGATGTCGGCGACTGGCTGGCAGAGTACGAGCGTGCCAGAGCAATTAACAAGTGGGAGGACCCTGCGGAGCTGACTCAAGTCATCTTCTACCTGACGAATTTGGCCAACCTATGGTTCACCAACCACCAAGCTAACATTCCCACCAGGTCGGTTTTCAAAGATGCCGTGACCTCGTTTTTCGGTCGTCCAGTCATGCGCAAGCTTCGCGCTGTACTAGGCCTGCGGGGACGATTTCAGCGAAATGGTGAGAGCTTCACGAGCTACATTGAAGATGTGATCAGCCTCTGTAGGCGAGTTGATGTCAGGATGACATAGGCTGACAGAATAAAGAATATACTGAAAGGCATTGATGACGACGCTTTTCATATGCTTGTGGCCAAAGACCCATAGACCGTCACGTCCGTGATGCGCTATGCCACATTTTGGATAAGCTGCGCAAGCAGCGAATTTCTACACGTCGCGCTAATACGCAAACAGCGGATATTTCGGCTTTGGAGTGCGAAAGAGTAGCCCCAACTACAGTGTGTTAATGCCTCAAATTCAACGGTAAATCTGGGAGGAAGTTGCCGACAGCTCTCTCTTGTCGCCTCCATCAACGAGACCCCCACAGCACTGGATCACTCACTTCGCCGTGCTATTCAGACGCAAGTTGCCGAGGCTCTACCTTAGCCCGCATCCCCAATACCAGTTGCTGCACCGCTGACTTATGCAGTAGCCGTCCGCCGACCTCCTGCCCAACCGACACTCCCTTCATACCGTCCAGCGACCAACTACTATAGGTCACCAGTTTCGGTTTATCTGGTAAATCGGCCCTTTCCATAACCTCGAGCACCTGGGAACTCTTGGCGTACTCTGAATATCCGGCCCGTCTGTTACAACTGCGGTATTCTAAGGCATGTCGCGCGCTACTGTCGTCGCCGTGGATTCGATTTCAATGATGCTCAGCATTCCATCAACATACCTCGGCAGTCAGAACCGCATGCGACACCTGATGCACATGACCACCCCGCTCACGTCGACCAGAATTCAGCCGACGTCGATCTCCTTCACCCCATCTTCGATCTCCTTCCCCCATGCTTCGCCGTTCCAACCAAGCCCAGGAGGAAAACTAACAGTCGCAGTTCCTGAGGAGAGAGCTGCGCCACCGACAAAATTTTCAAGGCCTCACCTTTCCCACCCTAACGAGATTGCCGTGTTTGTGGATGGTTTCGCTGCAACTGCTCTTGGCGACACAGGTGCCGCTATTTGTGTAATCAGTGAAGTGTTATGCCGCAAACTGAACAAAGTGACGACTCTACTGGTTGAAATTACTTTACGCACAGCGAGTTTGCGACACGTCCAAGCTTCTGCCACATGCACTGCTCGTGTTGTGATTCAAGGAGTAATTTACATCGTTGAATTGGGCGTCCTTCTGCATGCATCACATGAAATCATCCTGGGATGGAACTTTCTTTTGCTAATCATGCGGTTGTCGACTGCGCTTATGTTCAACTCGTTTTGTTTCCATTCAGCACGACATTCATAGATGTCCCTCGCTCACCCAAAAAGGTGATCGTCACCGCTGAAGTCGTCATCTCTGCTTTTTCGGTTGCCGCGGTATCTCTTTTGTGCAACTCCGTTCCCGAGTCAACTGCCCTCTTTATGCCACCACAAGAATGCGCTCGTCGCCGGAACCTTATCGTCCCGTTTCCGACATAACCCTTGCCAATGGCTCCGGTGCCGTGTACCTGTGCAATCCGCTCCCTTGTCCCGCTACCTTATTGCATGGCGAATGTATTGGGAGTCTTGACACTTATGACAACATCTTTCCTTTCGATGCCCCTTCTGATACGACGCCGATGTCCGTGGATGCTGTCACAGCTGCCACCGTGCCTTCACTACCTGACGAAGACGTTCTGTGGCACAGCGTGGACAACCGGGCTTACACAAGACCAGCGCAATCAGCTCATTCAACTACTTGACTGTTTCAGCGCCTCCTTCGACCACGGACAACTTCCCTTGGGACGCACGTCAGTTGTCGCTTACAGTATCGACACTGGTCATCATAATCCACTTCGTCAGCGCCCCTACCACGTCTCGAAAGGCTGAGCATGACGTCATCACTCAACACGTCGATGACATGCTGCAACGTGGTGTTATTCAACACTCACAGTCCTTGGGCTTCGCCAGTGGTCTTCGTGCGAAAGAAAAATGGCTCCATCAGTTTTCGCGTGGATTATCGTCGACTAAACAAGATCACACGCAAGGAAGTTTATCCCCTGCCCCGCATTGATGACGCTTTGGATTGCCTTCAATGTGCGGAGTTCTCTTCACTGCATCTGCGCACTGGATATTGGCAAGTGCCAATGGCCGAACCAGACCGTCCAAAAACTGCGTTTGTGACCCCTGACGGCTTATATGCATTTAATGTAATGCCCTTCGGTCTTTGCAATGCACCTGCGACTTTTGAAAGGATGATGGACAGTGTCCTCGAGGGACTTAAAGGGCACATCAGTCATTGCTATTTAGATGACATAGATGTATTCTCGGTGAATTTCAAAACTCATCTTTCCCGTCTGGAACAAGTTCTCCAGTGTCTTGCGGCAGCCGGGTTGCAACTAAACTTCAAGAAATGTCGTTTTGGCGGCCACAAACTCGCGATTCTCGGTCAAGTCGTTTTAAAAGGGAATATCGCCTGGCCCTGCCAAACTGCGTGCCGTTGCCGAGTGGCCAAAGCCTACTACCCTAAAGGAGCTCCGTAGTTTTGTAGGGTTGTGTTCCTGTTTTCGGAGTTTCATTCGCAATTTAGCCTCTATGATTGCCCCCCCTGACTCAGCTTCTCTCCCGTAGCGTGGACCTCTCTAGCTGGAATTCCCACTGCGATGACGCATTCACGGCGCTGCGCCGGCTACTCACGTCTCTGCCAGTTCTCCACCACTACGATCCCAATGCACCCACTGAAATTCACACGGATGCAAGTAGTATCGGCCTCCGTGCTATTCTCGCTCAACGCAAGGATGGCTGCGACGAGTACGTTGTCGCCTATGTCAGCCATACCCTAACGAAGGCAGAGTCCAACTACTCCGTCACGGAAAAGGAGTGCTTGGCTATCATTTGGGCTATAGGAAAATTTTGCACTTGCCTTTACGGACGCCAGTTTGATGTTGTCACAGATCACCATGTCTTATGCTGGCAAGCGTCCATGAATGATCCTACTGGCCGCCTCGCTCGTTGGGCTTTACGGCTTCAGGAATACGACATCCGTGCTATTTATCGCTCAGGACGCAGACATTCAGACGCCGATGCACTATCCCGTTCTCCATTGCCTGCTGACCTTGCCTGCTTACCAACTGCCATCTGCGATTAGTCATCGTCGAGCATCACCGACATGCCATTCGAGCAGCACAAGGATCCCTGGATCAATTCTTTGCTCGACGTCCTCTCTCATAGTTCGTCAGAAACGACTTCACACTCTCTCCTCGTCAAGCAAGACACTTTGCTATCCGTGAAGGCTTGTTG